AACCCCAAAGGACCCTAAACCCTAAACCCGACATCCCAAAGGACCCTAAACCCTAAACCCTAAAACCCTAAACCCTAAAACCCTAAACCCTGAACCCTAAACCGGTTCAGGTGGACTCGGAGGCTGCGGAGGGGGAGGAGAGCTCTCGGCTGCGCCAACTCTGCGACCGCCTGCAGGGCGAGGTCGGCGGGTTTAGGGTTTAGGGTTTAGGGTTTAGGGTTTAGGGTTTAGGGTTTAGGGTTTAGGGTTTAGGGTTTAGGGTTTAGGGTTTAGGGGTTTAGGGGTTTAGGGTTTAGTAAGGGTTTAGGGTTTAGTAAGGGTTTAGGGTTTAGTAAGGGTTTAGGGTTTAGTAAGGGTTTAGGGTTTAGTAAGGGTTTAGGGTTAAGTTAGGGTTTAGGGTTTTAGTATAGGGTTGCTTTCGGCTCTGGGGAGTATAAGGTTTTTCTTGGGGGTTGCAGGGGCTTTTTGATTGGAGGTGTTCGGGTTTCGGAAGGGGGTTCTAGGAATTTCGGGAGCGTTCGGATCCAGAAATCTAGGATTTGGTTTCGATCCAAGAATTTTTGGGTGCTTTTTTGGGGGCTGAGGGTCGCGGGACTCATGGCGTACGGGGCCTTTGTGATTCAGGTTTGAAGGGTTTAGGGTTTTTTAGGGGGTCAGGTATGAGGGCTTAAGGGTTCCGGGTTCATTGGGTTAGGGTTTAGGGGCTTTGCAGCTTAAAAGAGCTGTGGATGCGGGGGTTTTGGTGGGCCTGATTCGCTTCCTGTAGCCAAATATGCCCCGAACCTGGATCCAACTTGTTTAAGATATCATGCCCAACCGAAGTGGGAGCGGCGATGATCCAGAGAAAGCTGTGCAGAAGGATGCTGGAAACTGCCTAAACCCTAAACCCTAAACCCAACTTCGCCTTCAGGGCAGGCCCCACAGTGCAGGATGCTGACGAAACAAGTGCCCTGCTGCCATGAGCAGGGGCTAAACGGTGCAGCACTGGGCTCGGATTTGCACCCAATCTAGTCGTACAGGCACTAGGGACACTCGTGCTGCTGCTTTGTGCTGGTGGGCTACGCGAACACTGATGCTAGTGATGTTCGTGGTGCCGCTGATGCTTGAAATCCTGCTGATTGCAGGGTTGTTTGTCCGAATCATGCTGACCATGATCAGCAAGCAGTAGCCAGTGCCTAGTAGCAGTGGGAGTAGGAGTAGTAGGAGCACACCACCCCGGACCCGTGTCGCTGCCAAATGCGACCACCTTCCTTGACAGCACCGCCGCCACCCCGCCACCACCACCACCACCGCCACCGCCGCCGCCGCCGCTGCCGCCACCACCGCCGCTGTTGCGGCACGAGTCCCCATTGTGACAGAGAGTGTATCAGTGTGTGTTCGGTCGTACTCATCTTTGTGATCCGTGACCTGCTTGTGAGGTGGAGGAGCTTAAGGGCCAGCTGCAGAGCTCCAACTCTAAGGAGCTGAAGGCAGCAGGGACCTTTGGGATTTGGGGTTCTGTTTCGGGCTGCTTCAGGCCGCAGCTTTGGCTTGGGCCAGGTATCGGACTGTTACTGCCGGAGTGCAGGCAGCGCAGAAGCGCATCAAGGAGCTGGAGCGACAGCAGCAGCGGCAGGACATGTGAGCAGTCATACAAACCGACCTCACATCATGCTTGCTGACCTGCATGATTTGGTTCATATGGTGATGATGATGGTGGTGTTCACGAGGATGATGTACCTGCACTGCGGAGGGGGAGGATGAGGATGCTGATGAGGGTGATGACAAGCCATGATGATCATGACGCAGACAAGAAGACCATGATGAGGACGTTGGTGAATATCGACAGTGAGACGAAGATGCACATCAATAACATGGCGACGACCACATTGAATGTGAAAATGATGTTCATTTATGTTGAAGAACAACAAGAAGAACATGATGACAATGATGACGGTGATAATCATGATGGTGGTGGGGAATGATGATGTTGACGCTTGTATGACAGTAATGGCGGTGATTGCGAGTGCTATGCCAATGCGGGGTGGCGGAGGAGGAGGATGAGGAAGGACGAAGGTATCGACAATTATCCTGATGAAGATCAAACGACGCGTAGTCTTCGTAGCAGTGACAACAACGCGTCTGACAGGCGCAGCCATCCAGTACAAGCCTGCCATTCATCGCGGTTGCATTTTCTCTTGCTGAACGTGATCTCAACATGACTCATGGCTACGATGGTTGCAGCGCTGTCGCCATTGCAGTTGCCAACGTCACGGTATCATGATGAGTGCTATTCGTTATTCTCATGGTTATTACTATTACTATCATTCTTGTTGTTCAGTTAGGATTAGTCTTCTTCTTATTCTTGCTGTTCTTGTTGTTGTGACTACTACTGCTACTGTTGTTGCCACTATCACTGATCCATATCGTTCTTTTCACCAGATCTCGGGCAACACCAGGAGGGTCAGGACTCCAGGGACTTGACCATCTCAGCTCTGCGGGAGACCAACATGCAGATGCAGGACGGGGAGACGCTGCGGCAAGCCGAGCAGTGTTTTGTGAGTCCATAGCTGAAAAGTGGAAGCAGCAGTAGTAGTAGTAGTAGTAGTAGTTGTAGTTGTAGTTGTAGTTGTAGTTGTAGTAGTAGTTGTAGTAGTAGTTGTAGTAGTAGTGATAGCAGTAGTAGTAGTAGTCGTCGTCGTCGTCGTAGTAGTAGTAGTCGTCGTAGCAGCAGCAGCAGCAGCAGCAGCACTTATCAACAGCCTGAAACCCGGAGTCCCCGAAGCAGCTGTAGTTGGCCAGGCCGAACTTGACCGGCGAGGTCTCGACTTAGCAGCTGCTCGTCGCAAGGCCGTGGAGGCGCCAGACAGTTTGTCGAATTTCCGATCGAAACCGTCACTACCAAGCCTTCATCCCAAGTCTGCGGCGCAGCTACAAGTTGGTCAGCAGCTCAAAGACTGAACCCAGCCAAACTCCGACGCAGGCGGAGAAGCGCCTGTCGGAGAAGGAGGAGGTGCAGCACAGGGTACTGAAAGCATACAATGATGATTCTGCAACACTACCGCCGGCGTTTCTACTATTCCATCAGCATTTATGAGTCAGATTGCACTTCGCCAAGTGTTCATCAATCATTGTCATCATCACTACAGTCACTCTCAGCATCGCCACCAAAAAGCAGCATGAATATTCAGGTTTATATTCTCGTTGACACCAGCAGCAGCACTGACCTAGATATTGCCGGTGCCATTCTGACTAGCAACAACACAAGCGTGAAGTGGGTATATCAACAAGATAATGCAGGTGACGGTGATGGTGGGGAAGGGGATGGTGAAGGTGACGATCCATCTACTAGTCGTGTTTAGCCCATTCAGTTTGTTGTCATGTCGTTAGCTGTTGACTAGTGACTAGTTTTGGCGTACTAGATACTGTTGGCTGCCTCCTGCTTGGTACCTTGGACTTCCCGCCCCCCTGCTAGTCCAGCTGTTCGTGGTGTTGCCTTTGTCTTGAGGTTTCGTATTCTAGTCACTCCGTGCGTTTCGGGCAGGTCCGGGTAGGTCATCATCATCATCATCATCATCATCATCGTCATCGTCGTCATCTTCATCTTCATCTTCATCTTCATCTTCATCTTCATGATCATGATCATCATCGTCGACATCATCATCATCATCATCATCATCATCACCAGCATCATCACCACCATCATCATCACCATCATCATCGAAATCATCATCAACATCATCATCCTCGTCGGCAGCAATCGTCACCAGCATCACCATGCTTATCAGTACTGCCGTCACCAGTATCATCACCATGACTTATACCCATCACTGCGACCATCGCCAATTCACAAAAAGTGTGACACAGCAAGAAACAGAAACGCGGAATCGCCTGACATGCCCTGGTGATCGCGCAGGTTTTCTCCGACACATGCCAGCGGTTGGTTGAAGCACAGCAGCGCGTGGCACAGCTGGAGGGGGAGCTCACCCATCAAAGGGAGGTGCATCGCTGCAAATGGTATTTAGTCTTGAGGACGTGGTTTTCCCACCCCAAGTGCAGCAGCTTGCCCTATGCTGCCTCACGGTTGACATGGCTCACACAGCTACGGCTCAATTTTCAATGCGTGCAGCACTGCTGCATCGATGCCGAGTGTCGTGCTGCCTGCAGGTCCAGACATCACTCCAGAGCCGACTGCAGGGCCGCGGCCTCATGTTGCGAAAAGGGATCCCGTCACCAAGAAGCTCTGTCTGGCACAGTGGAGAGCACCGAGTCCTTCAAGCCTGTGCACGTGAAGCAGAAGACTGACATGACAAGACTGCACCAACCTGAATCCACGGCTGCCCAGAAAACTGCAGATCGTAACCCTTTTCGATTGCACACCGCAGTTTCTCTTCTGGCGTGCTGCAGGTGCCAGAGCTCAGCAGACCGTGGCCGAGGTGGAGTTGAGGCACCGAGAAATAGCACTATACCCATCTTTGCTGTGGCCCACACAGATAATGTATTGTGTGTGTGTATATATATATATATATGTATGTACACATGTATATGCTCTCGGGTCCCCCTCCACAGACGTCGTTTTCGGAAGATCGAATCGTCACCACGAGCCGGAACAAACCCAAACAAACCACAGGCAGGGAGGACAACAGAGGCGACGGGTGTCACTGCAATAGTCCTCCGCTCGACAGCCAGTGCTTCTGCACAGGGGGGATCAGAGCAGCTGTTCCGACTACGCGGGATGAACAGGGCCTTCCAACAAAAACTCAAGCATACTGTAGGAAGGCTTCACTTGAGTGGTTGCTCCTGAAACCCTCAACCCTAAACCCTCAGCCCTAAACCCTGAGCCCTAAACCCTAAACCCTAAACCCTGAAAAGAGAATCCTAAGCCCATAACTTTAAGCCCGAAAATGAGGCAAGCGAGGCATGCGCTCTCTTCGGCCACCGGCCTGGAGTCCGACCTGCAGAGGAGTCCAGTAAGGTCTGCAATAACACGGCAAAATGTAAGTAGCAAAATGAAATGATGAAAACGGTGTATGATAGAATAGAGGGTGTATAATGATATAGCAGGTAATGCAAGAGAAGATACAGAAGATACCAAACTCTTGTAGAAAATAGTGCCATACAGTACCGTTCTTATGCAACAACATACCGAAGGATATCTAAACGTAATATGATGCAGTGTCGAGTCGCAGCTGTTGGTGCATTATGGTCTTCCGGCGTCTCATCCGTGAGGAGAAGTGTTCCTTACGGGAGCGGATCCTTTGCCCCACGGGCTTCGGCTGACTTGCAAGCGCCAGACCTCAACCTCAGCGTGAGCCAGGTGCACCGGTGGCATGAACAAGTTATTTAGTTTTTACAGACTTGCAAATCCGAAACCTGACACCAAATCACAAATCGCAGAAACCTACCAAACTCCAAGCCCTGGAACCAAACCTCAAACCGTGACGCACTGTTGCTAACACTATGTGTTAATTGTCGTTTTCATGCGTGTTATCGGTGTTATTCTTGCTATTACTGTTACTACAGCAATGCTCATCAGTGCTATTCTTGCTACTGCTGTAGTTTGTGTTATCACTCCCTAAACCCTAAACCCTAAACCCTCAACACTACTCTACTTACTCAGGCCCCTATCTTAACTTATCAGGCCGATGAGTTGGCATCCACCGTGTCCGCGGAGAAAGCGCCTCCGAGCAGGTCGGACGCAACCTGTGCCGAAAGTTTCTTTGAGGTTCTAGGGTTTTAGGGTTTAGGGTTCAGAGTTTAGGGTTCAGACTTCAGGGTTCTGGAATTTTTGAGTTTGGGCGGTTTAGTGGTCCTGCACTTTTCATTCCGTGGAACAGCCAGCTTCAGGAGCAGCAAGGATGCATGCGTTCTTCATTCCGACGGTCTGTTTCTACGGAGGTGTTCTTCCCGAAGGCCACCCTTGCAAGCCTGTTTTGAAGGTTCATCAGCGCCGATTCGGAGAGTACCAGGCTCGTGCAGCAGCTGCAGTACTGTACCACAGCAGCTATCTTTCAGTAGTGTAACGGTTGTGACAGCAGCGGTGGCAGCAGCGGTGGCATCGGTAGCAGTAGCAGCACTGGCAGCATGTAGAAGACATGCAAACATGGTCATCCACCTGGGCCGATGCGCCTGCGCAGGGAGTGAACCGGACTGAGAAATGGGGATGAATGAGGAGTGAAGAATGATGACCCTGATGAGGTTCTACCACAATCTATACCCTGAATCTCCCTGAACCATCAAAATGCACATATGGGTAGTTGTCAAAATTATGGTCCCATTTGGGGTACCCTAAATAATGGGTGCCGTATTATAATAAGGACCCAAAAGGGGACCATAATTTTGACAACCACCCATATGAAAAATCACCCGGAAGCCTAGACCCTGAGCCCTGCACCTTTGAAGCTTCCCGCCACATGAAGGGAGATGCCAAAGGCCGCGCCCTTGCCCAGGAGTTCTCCACAGGCCCGGACGTAGATTCCATCCCATGGGCGGCTGTTTTCATAAACCCTAAACCCTAAACCCTACCCTAAATTTCATAAACCCTAAACCCTAAACCCTAAACCCTTTAAGGGACTTACAGGGGTTCGTGGTTCAGGGGATGTCAGGGCTTCAGGGATTCGGCAATTGAGGGTTTACGGGTCTTAGGGTGCGGGGTGTGCTGTCCCCTTTACAGTAAGCCTTTCTGACAGGGATCCTGCACAGTGGGGTGTGACTTTCTGACAGGGATCCTACATATCGGGGTGTGAGGCGCCACGTGTTGAAACTCCACTTGCGCTCACGGCGGCTAATGTTCTTGCTGCAATGGCTTTCATGTTTGCTGTTATGATAGTTTTGTGCAGCTACGATTCACCTTGGTGCTGCCGCTGCTGCTCTGTTGCTGTTGCTGTTGCTGCTGCTGCTGCTGCTGCTGCTGCTGCTGCTGCTGCTGCTGCTGCTGCTGTTGGTGTTGTTGTTGTTGTTGTTGTTGTTGTTGTTGTTGTTGTTGGCGTTGGCGTCGGCGTTGGTGTTGGCGTTGGCGTTGGTGTTGGCGTCGGCATTGGGGTTGTTGTTGTTGAGGTTGTTGTTGCTGCCGTTGCTGGCAGCGCGCCCACTAACAATACAATAGCAAAGCTCGATAAAAGCGGCCGAGCTCAAGACAGCGTTGGCCTGCCAAGACGGATAAGAGCAGTCAGTAGCAATAGTATGGAGTTGCATGAGAGCAGCGGGATCGACACAAGTTGCTTTGGCAACGGACCTCAGGCAATGTGAGTAGCACAAGTGCGAACAGCTTTTTCAGATGGTGCGAGCAAGTGTATCTTGTTTACCGAAAATAGCCACTTCGACAGCCATAGTCGCAATCGCATGCAGAGCGCGAACAGCAACAATTCAGCATGGCGATGATGTAACTGAAGAATAATTAAGCCTAATAACAGTGTCAGCAGTAGGGGTGATATGCAACAGGCACGCCGCAGTGTCTCTGATTTCGTTGGGGGGGAGCCTTGTATAAGGTGTGCTCTGCCGGGACGCGCGGCTAGCTGTGTTTGTGGATGCTCCGTTCTGCAAGTCTTAATCATTCCTAAAATCTCCTGTCAGACGTGGATGGAAACTCCGCGCATCTGGCAGCCAGTTGGAGCTCTGGTGAGGCCCCGGGAAGGGCCACGGAAATCAACTGCTGGGCCGCTGACCCCTAATGTAGGGGCCTTAATAATTAGAATAGGCTGTTGGGGCCCATTATACTATAGTTATAACAAGGAGCCCCCCAAAATAGTGGCTTTTGGGGCCATTATACTATAGTTATCATAAGGAGGCCCC